TGCAAACGATTTTGAGCCATGTCATTCAAGGTCTCTAACAATCGGTTGCTATCATCTCGCAGTCCCCAACCAGGTAGTCTACACCTACCAATATGACTCAGTTCACTTGTCAGTGACTTCATGGACTTGTGCCATGTTTTGGTTTGGCCGCCCCTAGCTTTCTTCCAACCTACTCCTATACAACTGGACATCGCACGTCGAGGTAGTTGGTGGTTGGGCATACGTAACACGTGTCCCATCCATCTCAACTGATGAAGTTTCACTACGTCATCAATTGATTTGCCATCTTTACCTAGTACCCGTTTCCTAACAACTGTGTTACTTACTCGATGGTCCCATGATATACGAGCAATGTTTCGAAGACACCTATGATCGAATACTAGTAACCTACGAATATCCTCTACTCTTATCGGCCATGTTTCACTGCCATAAAGTAGGACGGAACGAACTGCTGCGCAGTAAACCCGTCCTTTGGTTGATAGACGGATATCTCGCCTACGCCATAAATGACGCAAGTTGGCAAAAGCTAGTCGAGCCTTCTGTATCCGTGCTGAGATTTCGTCACACACCAGACGACAAGGGCTGATGAGACTTCCAAGATAAGTGAAGCGGTCGACACACTCAACTACTTCACTCCCTATCACTAGTTCGGGTGTCGATGTAACCCAATCCTGAAGCAACATTTTGCATTTCGAGGGAGAGAATCGCATCCCGAACATGCTTGCATTGTTGCTTAGAGTGGTCAGAAGACTCTGCACTTTGTCAGCGTCTTCACCAAATAAAACTATGTCATCTGCATATTCTAAGTCAACAAGTGAACCTCCTGGTAGAAGTTCAACCCCTGGAAATTTAGATGAGGAGAGTGTTATCTCTAAAAGTACGTCAATGACAAAGTTGAACAAGAATGGAGAGAGTGGACAGCCCTGACGAACACCACTTGAGGTGATCAATTCTGACGTAGTGTGAACATCTGATCTATACAACCACGTCTAGATCGAAAACCAGCCTGGTTTTCTCTAGTCTGCTCTTCACGAGCTTTAGTTAGGCGTCGAAGTATTATTGAGGCTAATATTTTAGACACTATATTAGTCAAACTGATTCCTCTGTGATTGTCACAAGAGGATTTTTGTCCTTTCTTATAGACTGGCACAATCAGTGATTGAGAGCAGTCAGATGGGATTACGTCCAGTTCCCAAATTCTACCTAATACGTCGGTTAATCTCATTGCTAATACTGGACCACCATCCTTAAAAATCTCAGGAGTAAACCTGTCAGGGCCTGCTGCTCTCCCTCGCTTCAGATTTCCTATGGCTTTTTCAACTTCGTAAAGGGACGTAGGACTTACATTAACTTGCCATTCAGGTTGACTGGAGATCGTGGGAAACCGAAGTGTGGCTGAAGGCCATATATTTGTTGAATTAGAAATATGTACTGCTATTATTATTAATACTATCATAAAGGAATAAGGACGTTACTAATTGGGAAAAGGGGTGTGCATTCCAACAGTAGTTCAGTTAAAATGTACTTGCGCCTACTTTTCTTATGACTTGATACAGTATTATATTGGATTATAGAAATTTATAAAATGTCCATCTTTAGTAAAAAATTTTCTTTTGTTTATGCGAATGTGACGCTTTTATTTTATTCAATGGTAAGGAAGTATTTAATTGTAATTGAATTATAAAAATGATTTGAGCAATAATATCCAATAGAGTTGAATTCAATTATAAGTTTATGACAATCGAAAGTAAAAAGGTATTATGTATTTCATTTCTTCTTTTTCTTAAAGAAAAAAACCCAGACTTAATTGACATCTTCAACCGTGGATCATTTTGATTTTTTATCAATAAAGTATTATCAAATTCAAGCGTAGTATTTCTTTGAAATTTATTTCAATTTTGTTCAAATTTATATGTTTGTATCGTTCTGATCCTTTTCTATATTATTTGCATATGACAAAGACGTGTATCTATTACAAATTCATAGTAGCTAGAGGATTGGAATGCCTTTTATAAACTTTTTAAAAGTTTACCATTGAATTGAGCACTTATTATTTATCGTCATATTATCATTGTAGGTACTTTTCGTTCTGTATCTCTGACATATTTATCTTCACAGTCCAAATGTTTTATGGCTTATCGTCTTGCTTTCAGACAAAAATATGAGATTTGTTAAACTTTTAAGCCAATAATCGCGTTTGGTCCACTATGTAGATAAAGTGCGTTCAGTATATTTTTTCTTAACTGTTTTGTGTAGTTATAAAATGAAGTGCTTAACGTGCAACTCTTATCTCAAAATCCCTCATATAAGAGAAGCAGTGGCTTAGTCCTTGCAGCATTAAACTATTCTAGTCTGAGGTCCAAACTTCACTTACTCTGGTTGAGGCAACTGGATGACTTCACAAGTCCTTACATAGAATACTCTGTCTTCAAGCCAAGTACACAATCATCTACACTTGGTTATAAAGTTTCCCGTTAATTATTCATCAACTCGTACAACTGATCAGTATCCTTAACTCTTGTTTAATAATCAATCACACGTAAAAGTAGTGTAGATAATCAGTCGATATCTGGTTTTTTTTTCAAACCTCCCTGTTTTTTCATACTTCTCCAGCATATCAAATAAAATTTATCGGATTAGTTTTATTAAGTTCATATTTCTTGAAGCGAAACTGTTTGTTAAGTGTTGAAATGCTTGTATTATGCTAATCTATGTGCGATTAGGAATAAATGTGACCTCTAAAACTGTTGTTTGTCAATATAGGAGTTGAGAAGATTGTGGAATCTTATTGGAATCACCAACCGATCTAGGTCAGGCAACTACTAGAAACCTAGAGTCACTGAACAAATGTTTCGTCCTAGCGTGACTTCTCAACAGTGCACTTCTACGACCTCACCACATAAAATAAAACTGAACACCATTTCCATTCTATAATTTCATTCATTAATAGTATGGAATGAATGATAGATCGGTTTAATTTTTGTTGTTGTTATTATCTATATTGTAATTAAGCATTGTAATCATATTATTATATATTTGAAGATCTTAAATACATTATAAACTAATCATTTTTCTATACTATAACATTTTGATCAGATATTTCATTTGCGTTACTTAAATCTAATTTAATCTATCAATTTTGTATACTGCATAAAATGTCACTGAAATTCACTGAAACTAGACTAACGGTTTTTCATCCCTACAAGTAAATGAAGTCCTCAATTTAAATTACAGCTTTCAATCTTGTCCGATGTACCCTGGTTTTAAATGTTGGGTATTAGTACAAGTCTTTTTGAATCTAAATATACACAAGTCTTATTTTGGTTATTGAGTTTCATTGTATTAGCGTTTATACTGAAAGCGTTAGATCATATGTAGGTAAAGCCTAGTGATTTCGACATTCAATGTTCAACTAATTATTTGTTTATTTAAACTATGTCTCATTTACTAAGGCTTTACTATTCAAATAAAATCACTTATAATTTAACAGTAGATGTTTTCTATGCCTTGTTAAATGAACTTGTTCATTATCCATTTAGTTGCGTAATAACATTACTTAGGATTATTATTTCTGCACTGTTAAATCTTTCAAATAGAAACAATCCATTAGATATCGGATTCTTTAAACATAATAATATATCGTCTAAGCTTCGAAATTTGACATCAATGTTCTTTAATATATCTTCTATGTATATATTACATTCTTCTCATGGATAAAAGTTCTATTTACTTAAGGATTATTAGTTATTAATTCACTTACTTCCGTTTGATGTCTGTCATTAATCTTAATAAGGTTTAGGGAAAAGAAAGTTGGGAATTGTTAATTGAAGAAATAATTCTTTTCATAAATGCAAGTAGCCGATCTTCAATCTTTCTTCTTAATACACTATTAAAATAATTTAAATACTTTTTTGTAGACTAGATTACTTCACTACAATAATACATCTAGTCAGTATTCAATTTTTTGTTGTTAGATTTTACGGTGTTGAATGTTATGAAAAAAAGATGGGGTATTATTTGTGCAGCATTAGTACTATTGTTTTATTCACCAATAGATTTTTGTTGTACATACAAAAGCATATGTGAGTTTTCTCCTCTCTCTCTCTCTCTCTCGTTGGCTGTTCATAATAATCGATATAATACATTTATAGCTCTCTACTCTGATTTATACAATGCTATGTATATCGTAAGAAAACGATATCGACCCAAAACTAACCTTTTTTTTCCAAAAAAACTTCTTATTTTTTCAGTGTATTTGTGTTCAAGTAGTTCTACTTAGTCCACTCCAGTTTAGGTAAATTCACAAGTACTTACATAAAATAATCCGTCTTCAAATACACAATCTTTTGCACATATTTATAAAGTTCCACATCCAATATTCATTCTATTGTTGCAATTTAATTGAGTATGGTCAGTACTCGTAAAATAATCAATTCCACAGATAAAATCACTGTAGATAATCAGTTGCAACCTTTGACCTAACCACTCCTATGAATCCGGTGTTCATCTTGTTGTGCTAATGAGGTATGGCAACCTGGACCGATGCACATATGTGCCTGGTCCTATGTTGTAGCTGACTGACTGATACACTTGGTTGTTCTATCTTTATTTGTATTGCTTTGATGAATAATTGATTTCAGAACATCTATGGCTTTTCTGTATTTTCTCTTGTTTAAACCATACAGTAACATTTAAAGGTGTATTGTAAGAAAATAATGCTAACCTAGCACACTGTTTTGCATTTTCCACATTCTCTTGGTGTATCGTGTGTGTGTTACATGTACATTAAAAAAATACACGGTGAAATTATCAATTACACATGTAGTCTTTTTATTTTGTTATCTAGGCTTTCAGTAATATCCCAGTGCTTTTTTTCAAATTTTTTCATTAGATATAACAAGCAAATTTCATTCCATGTACATTCTTGTTTTTTTTCTCTCTTCTATTTCCATTTCTTTTGTTTGTTTTTTTTTAAAACAAAAACAAATCAATCATTTTAGGATCTAGTCGTGGTTCATCACTTACAATGGCTAGTTCAACAACAAATGATTCATTGCCTAGTTCAAATGGTAGTCCAGCGTTGACAAGTTATAACGCGAATCAAAATAGTACACAAAGATCATTTTCATCAAATCCGAATCCAATGACCAGCAATGAACAACAAATATTAGAGGTTAGTTAACAATCTTCCACTAATATTGTTGCGTTTTTGTTTAACATTTAAGAAGGTGGATGGCATTTCAAACTTGAAAATAATACATTTTGAACCGACCTCAAAAGTTGATTATTCAAATATAGTACAATATTTAATTCATTTGTTTGTATATCCTTTTTTATCATCGTAACAAAATAATTATAAATTTATAACCTTAAAGCCCCCTGGTGATGAAGTTATTGACAACAATTATCTACTCATATATTCCTTATTTCTAAATATTCTACAAAGAATATTAAATTCTGTAAATTGATTCATTTGATAAACTACAAATCTATTGATGAATAAATGAAGATTTGAGAAGCACTTCATATTATTTTTCTAAATGTATTGAGCACTGAGTAGTGACCAATGTCATATATGTCCAATCCTTCGTAGTTCTAGTCGAATTCTATCGATCAAGTGGCATTGTGGCTTAACTTTTATTTCAGTCATACAGAGGGTTTATTGCGGCTCGAATAGCACAGTGGTAACGTCTCTGAGTGTGAAACTGTGTGATACGGGATTGAATCCGGCAGGTAGCATCAGTTCCCTCAAGATTACAGCTATACCTTCCTGACTAGTATCAAATAGCACGAAGCCCAGGTCAAGTAAGGTATCCTGTCAACTACCTCCATCCACCACCATTTTGTTTTTTCATATTTGGCAATTTTGCAAATATAAAACACTCAAACTCTGTTACTTCTGTATATTTAATCGTTTTTACAGCTTTCAATGACTTTTACAACATAAGGACTGATTTACGATTAGATCATTTTGATTTTTATTAATTTGTAAAATATTATAACTGTTGTTTATGTTATGAAATATCTGAATAATTTAGAAATCCAGCCTTCTACCTAGAAGTTATCTCTTTCTGTATGAAAAACTACTAATGGTTTGTGATCTTCACCAATTCTTAGTTAATTTTCAAATTATCTAGATCTAAGTATTGTGTGCATGTTGTCATTTTTCTAGCCGAAGCTTCCAGTTGAATTGCCGCATTACATGTTGACTTCCTAATTTTAGCTTATCTCAAAAAATAAGAAAGAAACTTTATTCGTACTTGTCCACCCAGATAAATATCTGCAAACTTGAATGAATTGATGCTCACTAATGAGAAATGTTACTGTTCAACGATTGTTCTCATTTTATAAGCAGATCTTGTGTATTGAATAAGTACAACTTAATTTAACAAGTTTTCGTCCAAATTTTAATTACAAGTGCTGAATAATGTGTCCCTTTACTAACAATAATTTAACTTCCTTAAGTCGTATCATATAGTTTTTTCAGGTATTAACGGATTTAATGGGACAATAAAAATCGGGAATAATTAAACATAACAGTTATAAAAATATATGTTTCTTCAGTGCTTTTAATCTGTTAGGTCAAAACGGTAGTTTTCAGTCCAAACGCCCTGTTATATAATGATGTTAAACTAATATCTTTTCTGTGGGTAACCATCTTGCTTTTGATGTTCACTAGAAGTACAATACATAGCATTTCTGTGCATTTTTCTGCTCATTAGTTTGTCAGTATCATCTTAACTGGAGACTTCATTTTAATCATCTAAATCCATTTACATATATCTATGGACACGCCACTGTAGCACATCCCTACTGGCCAGATGAAAACAGCAAAGAAAGTGAGAGTTTGTGCTCGAAATGAAGTGCTCAGTAAAAATTATGATCGTATATCCAACATTCACTTACTAAATGAATGGGAAAGTGCTAGATACTCTACTCATATTGAACACTAAAAGTTAGGTGCTCTACAAGCTCACGGACATATATCCTATCCTTATCTCTTTTATTATATTGACTTAAACTGACTTACAAATAGTGATACTACTTATTAGTGACTTCCATATCGTTGAAATTCGTGATCGACTCGGCTAAACTTCTATTCATTTCTTTCCAAAGCATTTTAAGGACCATGAAATTATGTTCACATATGAAAGTAAAGATATGATTACCTATAAATTTTGCTTAAATCCTTTTCCCTCATCAATCTCGTCATTAAATCGAACTTGAGATATCGAACTGACTTTCTATGTAGTTATCATCAAATAACATTTATGTATACTATCCATTTTCTGGAGAGTTATATTTGATTCCCCTCCAATCAATTTTGTCATTTTTTTACGTTATTGTATCTATTCCTAGAACAAACTACACTATGCAACTCCTGTAATCAAAAACCAGTCTCAATGCTCTACTACTCCAGGTCAAGTGTTCAATCTGTTAAGACAGTCCACATTGGCTAGTAATCAAGTTTGCATAAATAATCATCAAACTAACACCGATCTACAAACCATCCCTGGGACAACGGGTGTTCCAAACGGAAATGCTCCAACTCCTCCCCCTCCACCGCCTCCACCTCCTCCTCTACCTATGTTTTTACCAGTATCGCCAAATAATCTGTCAACACCTCATCCATCACTAGAAGAAACAACTTGTCCAAAATATTCCGGTAAGAATTTGATAGTTCTCGATGATCTGTATGTGTGTAAATTCTTCTTTGGTTTAACTATTTAATCATATAGGCTGAACTATATATAATAATTTCTAAAATCGAACCCAGTGTGTATATTTCGGTCCAAAGAACGTTGTATTACTGATAAAAGTATTCAATTATTTTAATCTGATAAGGTAACTCTCTTTGAATGTTAGGGTTAATGTTACTTTTACCCAGCTTTTCAAAATGTAAATAAATAGGCTAGAATTCGAACTTGCCATATATTGATTGATTTAAACAATAACCCATCATTTTGTTTTCGATCATTTGTCACAGTTAAAAAGAATTGAATGAGGTCAAAAAATAAAACTTAGAAATGTCAATAAACACAAGATTTATCCGAACAAACAGAATGAATACAAATGCAATAATGTAATTTATTTTAGATCATTTCTTTGACTTGCTGCAACCATTATACTGGTTTTGACTAGTAGGTTTTTATCTACCGTAGCGTAGTCAAATAGCTTATTTCCTTCGACTAAGGCAAATAAGCTATTTGGCTACACCTTGACTCTATAATCGACATTTTACGAGACTCCTTTAATAGAACGATAAATTCAACAAAATTTCGGACAATAATCTTGTTCTTACTGAACATCGAATACATTCATTACTGAAATAATTTATAAGAAGTTCTATAGTGTTACGAGATTCCAGAATCGCTAGCCGATTGTTCGGAAGATTAGAACGAAAATCAATTTGAAAAGAATTCTTCAGTAGAGCTACATTCTGCTAAGTCGCACGTAACATAGAGAATGAAAAAGAACTAGAGAAATCACATTGTTAGGAAAGAGAAAGTTTTAATAACTGTATTTACCAAAGTGAGATATTTTAAGATTCGATGGCACACTCGTAACTTACTGTAATTTTATAAGAAATTTCGAAGCTTAATTGCCTAGTCCAGAATTTCAACGGTAACGTAAAGACTGCTACTCTCCAATATACCTTTCTTTATCGTAAAGCACTGGAGATTTTGGAGAAATGTTTTGGAACATAGCATGTTGTCAGATGGTATCTTGGTTTCACTTAAAGAATGTGAGCTTAACAGTAGTAGAAGACGCCAATCTCAAACTGTTAATTGGGTGTAACGCATCAGTCACATACAATCCGAAATAGACGATGTTTGTTTTGAAATATTGTATTGCAGAAGTATAATAATTTTGTACCGATTATACAACCTGAACTTAAGCAATATGTTAATCTCACTATTAACCATCTATCCATATAGTCAAGCTTGTCAAACACTTTTTAAAAAAAAATTGATAATTGTCTGCTTTTGTCGTGTGATTTTATTTATTTTTTAATATATTCACGTATAATTTGTTTATTCACTTTGTAAATCTGTACAACGGATGGTCATTCATCATCTATGTCTACGTCACTTTTAACTACTTTCTACTATCAACTAGTTTGTTTTATGAAGAATGTAGATTCAGCAAAAACATTTTTCTTTTCCGTTCAGACATTTAAATGTAATGCATCAATGACCACTTCTTTTTTCTAGGTTAGAAAAAATAAGGAGAATTATAGACCATTCATAATTACATACTTTTCATACAGACTTAAACTCTTTTTGCAATATAAGTGTATTTTTCAATATACTTTCTTTTGATTAACTAAGTATAAATTGGGAAATATTCACAAAAGTTTTTTTATTTATTAAGACGAAAATGAATAATACATAACTATTGACTAGTCACTGAATTAGGGATGGATCATGGTCATGGCCAATAGTCTGCATTGCGTTTATCACGCATGTCGTAATCAGGTTAGAGTTCATTCCCCTATCAACTGTTGATGGCACCATACTTTCAGTATTTCTTCATAAATAGTAGCTTAACAATATTTTCTTGTGACGATTCAATATTTTCACCTATTTTTAAAATAAAAGATGACTTTATCTGGTTCCTGTAATCATAACTTGTTCTTGATTTCACTTATTTGAGAAATGTAACTTGAAGTTAGTTAAATCCAAATTATAACTGTCACACTATATTATGGGTAAAATAAAGTTGAGAAAAGATTGATGCATAGGTCATCTGTAAATCACTTGATTTGAAATATGATTTGTAATGATTTGTTTAAAATGACTGTTTGGATGTTGTAATAATTTTGACTTTTCAAGGTAGTTATAAATTAATGCTAATAATCTAGATATTCCTAGAATTATTCACGAGATTTCAGTGTGTGTGATATTTTTTTCTATAAGTTAACTATCAATCAATTGCTACATTCATTAAAACTACATTTCTTTCTTCTCAATTTCTGTTCAATTTTTTTTAAAGATTACAATGAAACTTTGGCAACTGATTTGGTCTCTGTAGAAACTGCTAATCTTATGTCTGAATTATCTTCACAATTGCAACAACTTGCTGCACGATCGAATGATGTAAACTTTTCACAATCAACATTTAAAACAAGAGATATATTTCACAAGGAATCCATAAAACACGATGATTTCGATTTACCGCCACCACCGCCACCTTCTATGTTTACAGAACAATACTGCAGTGATGTAGTGAAATTAGAATGTTCTCCGATTCAGACTACGAATATTAGTTGTACTTCCACTACTAGCATTATTGCTAATGATAATAATAATAATAATACTGATGAAGTGATTGATGATGATTCCAACAAAAATTTATCACCATTTTTATTGGCGTTAAAACAAAGTGTGAAACAACGAGCTGACCGTATAGCTGCTGAAAACTCAACAAATAATTGAACATGAAATGACGCTAAACTCTTTGATGATGACCATCCTAATGCACTAACATTTTTTGTTATACATATTAGGAACTAATCTTTCAAAGGTAGTGGCGACATTCACTTGTAGGAATCTATGTATAAAAGTGATAATGTTGAACTACACACATTCTCACTTGCTTTCTAATAAAATCTGTCGATAACATTCGATATTCATCCTTTCCTCATTGCTTTCATCATTATTATTATTCCCATCATAATCATCAGTACATGTATTTATTTTTATTGACACATTGAAGTAATATGCAGCCACGGTAAGAAGCAAACGTCTCATATGCTTACTACTTTTTTCTTATCATTGTTGTTGTTAATGTTAGTTTTGATCTTTACCACCCTCCACCGTTTCCATTTTTGCCTAACTCATCTTTTCTACTATTTGTGTAAATATAAATGTTAAGTTATTATTTTGTATGACATTATCACATTACTAACTCTGATAAGTAATGTTTTTTGGACATTTCACATACACCTGGTAGCTATACCCAGTATTATAAACTGATATCAGGCCAGTACTTGTATCTCTGACCGTTACTAGTTACATAACGTCGCTTCTGTGTGTTTGTCTTTACGAACTCTTTCCTCTTACCAGTGATATGAAGGAAGTGTTTTTCAGAAAAGTAAACCGGTCATTATCAAATACTTCTTACCGATTAACTATTTGACTAACTGTCTCGTTTAACAATTAATCTAGCAATCTGTTCAATTTAAAATCTCGTCAGACAGATTTCTGGACACAAATAGGCACATTCACACATATACACATTCATGTACATTTTGAAATTCATCTCTTATTATCTATTGTTAATAATCCGTTGGAATTTTCCTATGTTTATGCACATGTCCTTTTTCGATTATTTTGTTTTCACTTGAAACATCAGTAAAATGTATGTTGGTGACCGACGGCGTAGGGAATCCTGTACGCCCTTTCTTTGAACAAAAGAAATCAACCGGAAACAAGTGTTTCCAAAAATATTTAGATTCTTATTTCTACTACTACTAATTTTAACGTTAGGATTATTATTACTATTATCATACTTTGGAGTGTTGAGAATTCTGTGTATAATGTATGTGCTGTTAGAAATGTGCTCTGGTATCATTGTTATATTGTTCCGTTGTCTTCATTTGTGTCACTGAATGTGATTAAGACATATACATATATGGTTTACTATCACACCATGTTCTACCCCTACGTCTGTCTTGCTGTCGAACTATGTGGTGTATATCTGTGGTTGCTTCTATACCCGATTCTATACTAGTTTCTTCTTAGGTATACTGATAAATTATATTATATCAAGTTTAGAAAAATTTGTTATTGTTGTTTTCTCTATTTCTATCTTCTGAAAATTATGTATTACATCGTATCATTTTCTTGTTTATCGCTTTGTGAGATTACATTTTTCATTTTTACAAGAAAATCGTATTTGTTAATTGTAGATGGGAAAAGAAAGAAGGATGGAAAGTTTCAGGTGAAAAATAAGGCTCTCACATACATTCTCTTCATTAATGACTCACTGTACTCTAATTACATGTTATATGCAGATATATTTATACACATTACTTGATAATATGTCTTTTTTATACAAAATGTCTTAATGTCCACAAATTGCATTTTATTTATTTGACTTTACTATACATATATATAGAAAAACAAGGAAATATTGTGTAAATTGTTGGAGGTTGTTTTCTTTCCTTTGAAATTCCCTGTCTGCATGTCTATTTTTGTTGGGTTTTTATTATGGAATAACATAATAACACAAGGGCTAATCAATCACTCGTACTAAAGGTAAAATTTGGTAACGTAATTTAAGCGTTTTAATTATAACGGACAAGTGATGGTGAATTTTGTATCACTTCAACTTAAATTCTCTTCAGTTGATAGGCTAGATATTAATACTATGATTATATTTCTACTGCATTTGTCAGTAGCAATGTATTAACGTACCCAAGTTATGTATATATTTCACACCTGGTTCGGTTTGGGCACCCGGGCAGTATCACAGCCCTCACACATATCAAATGAGATCTGTGTGGCGCATATGTATTTGGTGGCTCCTTGTACCAATATCTATGTGTTAAAATAAATAAATAAATAACAGATTAAGGATAGATTGAAAACGTCAATAGAGTGGTTTATTTAGATGACAAGTTTAGTTAATAAAGGAAATCACAATCATTTGCAGCACACATACTGGACTAAGTGTTGGAAATGCTCCTTCCCACTTTCCGAATTTATATGAACATATTTTTGGGCGAGACTATAATTTATGGACGAACCAATCACGTATAAGATAACAGGTCTTGGATTTTGGCGCGAAATTCAATCATCTATTTGGTTAAGTAGAGTTTTGGCATTATAACTGTTGTTAGTTCGTGATGAAAACCCCAAGTCCTAACCTCAACCATCAACTGTAAATCATAATTCTAATTTCTCACAGGTTTGTAACCCTCATTCGGTAGCGGTTATTAGGTGGACACTCTCAAGGTCAGTCTAGCGTCACTCCAAGGTCATCCATAAATTATAATCACACCCGATTTACAATATTTATTAGACGGAACGAAAATTTGCACATTAATTAAAAACTCCATTTCGCATTTGCAGAGAGTCATTCCAAAGTCACCTCCAGCATGTACTAACTATTACTTTTTAGACATAACATGCAAACAGTAGACAAGCCCGAGATTTATACTACTTAGCACGGGATAATAATCTAGATTATTTCCTTGTACTTCCCTAGTCATCATTGTTTCTCCAGTTGACATCAAAATTTGTCATCTTAGTTCATTTAGATTTTATTGCGAAACTTGACAGTCAGCTCGTAAATTTATCTGATAATCTGCCTCAACTCTCTTTCTGAATGACAATTAACGTACTATTATTTAAATTTCGATTCACTGAAAGAAAAATTGTACTTAAATCCAAACAAAGTAACTTGTTCTTACCAGTCTACTGATGATTTTTAATAGTAATGATGTCATCTAGTGTGAAGTACATTCATTACAAGAACTTATCTTTGATGATTTTAATCTTCAATCTCTTGTTTTTGTCTACGACAAAATTCCTAAAGAAATAAATGAAACTACTGAAAAACCCACAGATTTCTGCTTAATTACATCTGTCATTAGGCAATATGGTTTCGATATCCAGAAATTAACTATCATATTCATTTTAATGGTCAACAATATTTGTAACTTATCATTGGTTTATTTTTCTTTAATTTATCCATCATAACCAATGATAACAATAAGAAATCATAAAAATACTTGTGTTAAATGTTACATCTGAAAATATACTGACGCTCTTACTATAGATAACAATTTATAATTTCACAACTGTAAAACATTTGGTATTAGGCTTCACTAATTCAATATATTAATATTTCATCACACAGTTCTTGCCATTATATGATCTTATCTTTTAAAATTATTTACGTGCTATGACTAGATTCGAAATGTTCTTGTTGTTATTATTATTTTACGAAGCTGGATTCTTCAAAATATTCCAGTAAGGTAAAGGTCCAACAAGAACAAATTTGGACTTTTTCAACATAGGATTCTCGTTTAGTGGATCAGAAGTTAAGATTCCACACATCAGAACGATAGTCGTGGGTTAGAGTCGTTGATGCACTATGTTGAGGTGTCCAATAGTGTGACAAATGAAGTCTTGGGCAGGAGAAAATCAATACTATACTAAATTTCACACTGCATCCGTAAAATATGAAACTTACTTACGCCTGTTACTCCCAATGGAGCATAGTCCGCTGACTAGCATTCTCCAACCCACTCTGTCCTGGGCCTTCTTTTCTAGTTCCATCCAGTTCTTGTTCATTTTTCTCATGTCTATCTCCATTTCTCGGCGTAATGTGTTCTTTGGTCTTCCTCTCCTCCTCCTTTGACCTTGGGGATTCCATGGAGGGCTTGTCTTGTGACGCAGTTGGGTGCTTTCCTCAATGTGTGTCCTATCCACTTCCAGCGCTTCTTCCTGATTTCTTCCTCCGCTGGGATCTGGTTTGTTCTCTCCCACAGTACGTTGTTGCTAATAGTGTCCGACCAATGGATCTGAAGTATTTTGCGTAGACAATTGTTAATAAACACCTGTATTTTCTGGATGATGGCTTTCGTAGTTCTCCAGGTTTCTGCCCCATACAGTAGAATTGTCTTGACATTTGTATTGAAAATCCTGACCTTGGTGTTGGTTGACAGTTGCTTTGAGTTCCAGATGTTCCTCAGTTGTAAATATGCTGCTCTTGTTTTGCCGATCCGCACCTTCGCATCTGCATCAGATCCACCCTGTTCATCAATTATGCTGCCCAAATACGTAAAGGTTTCTACATCTTCCAAATCTTCTCCGTCAATTGTGATTGGATTGGTGCATTCTGTGTTGCATCGGAGAATCCTGCTTTTCCCTTTGTGTATATTGAGACCTGAGGCTGCTGCCACACTGTTTGTCTTCTCCTGCATCTGTTGTTGCGTTTGGGATAGAAGGGCCAGATCATCTGCGAAGTCTAGATTATCCAACTGCATCTTAGATGTCCATTGTATCCCGCGCTTTCCTTCAGACGTTGACGTCTTCATGATCCAGTCGATCACGAGGAGAAAGAGAAAGGGTGAGAGTAAGCAACCTTGCCTAACACCGGTCTTCACTTTGAACGACTTTGTCAACTGTCCTCCATGCACGATTTTGCAGTGTAATCCATCATATGAGTTCTGTATGATATTGACTATCTTCTGAGGCACGCCGTAGTGTCGAAGAAGTTTCCATAGTGTTGTTCTGTCCACGCTATCAAATGCCTTTTCGTAGTCAATGAAGTTGATGTAGAGTGATGAATTCCATTCAGTTGATTGTTCCACAATGATCCGTAGAGTTGCGATTTGGTCTGTACACGATCTATCCTTACGGAATCCTGCCTGTTGGTCACGAAGTTGGACGTCTACGCAGTCCTTCATCCTGTTTAACAATACCCTGTTGAAGACTTTTCCCGGTGTTGAGAGAAGAGTGATGCCCCTGTAGTTATCACACTTGCTGAGATCGCCTTTCTTCGGTATTTTGATCCGAAGTCCTTCTTTCCAGTCTGTTGGTACTTGTTCCTCATCCCAAATCTTATTGAAGAGAATGTGGAGTATCCGTGCAGTTGCCGCTACGTCTGCTTTTAGTGCCTCTGTTGGGATGTTGTCCGGTCCTGCTGCTTTGCCACTCTTGATTTGTCTGATGGCCATGCTGATTTCTTCAATTGTTGGTGGGCCAACATTGATTGGGAGGTCCGTGGATGCTGCTTCGATGTTGGGTGGGTTAAGTGGAGCTGGTCGATTCAACAGTTCTTTGAAGTGTTCTACCCACCTGTTTTGTTGTTCTTCAATGTTGGTGATTACCTCGCTTTCCTTGCTTTTCACTGGTCGTTCTGGTTTTCGGCGATTTCCAGAGAGTTTCTTTGTCGTGTCATACAATTGTTTCATGTTTCCTTCTCTTGCAGCCTTTTCCGCCGCCGTTGCTAAATCTTCCACATATTTACGTTTGTCGGTTCTGATGCTCTTCACTTGTTTGTTAACTTCTGTGTATTCAGCTTGTGCCTTGGTTTTGTCTGCTCTTGTTCGACTGGTATTGATTGCTACCTTCTTGTTCCTTCTTTCTTGAGTCTTATCCAGTGTATCAACAGTGATCCATTACTTGTGATGGTGCTTCTTGTGACCCAGGACCTCATGACATGTTGAAGTGATTGCCTCTTTGATCCCCTTCCAGTTGCTCTCCACAGTAGTTCCTTCTCCATTGAGTAGATCATGGAAGGCCTGGAACTTGTTGCTGAGGACTGTCTTGAATTTGTTGAGTTTGTTAGTATCCTGAAGAAAGGCCGTATTAAACTTTTGTGATATTGTCCGCCCCGTTGTCCAGTACTTCTTGAGTTTCAATTTCATCTTGGCGACCAGTAAGTGATGATCTGATACTATATCAGCTCCTCTCTTGGTTCTCACGTCCTCTATAGTCCTCCTGAACGTTTTGTTGATGAAAATATGGTCGATTCGGTTTTGCGTGGTGTGATCCGGTGAAGTCCATGTGGTTTTGTGTATGCGTTTATGTGGGAATATGGTGCCGCCTATGACCAGTTTATTGAAGGCACATAGATTTGCAAATCTCTCACCATTTTCGTTTCTTTCTTCCAGTCCGTGTCGTCCCATGATGTCTTCATATCCAGTGTTGTCCGTTCCAACCTTGGCATTGAAATCTCCCATCAGAATGGTCAGGTCCTTCGTTGGGCACTTCTCGACTATTGACTGCAGCCTATTGTAGAATTGATCTTTAGCGTCTTCATTGTAGTCGTTGGTAGGCGCATAGCATTGGATGGCGTTCATTGAAATGCCCTCTTTTTTGTTTTGAAGGGGGCTTTGATTATCCTTGGTCCATGAGATTCCCATCCTATAAGCGCATTTTGCGCTTGTTTGGACAGCATCAATGCAACTCCTTGTGTATGTGGTGCATTTTCTTCTTCATGGCCGGAGTATAACAGGAGCTCTCCTGTAGTTAGTCGTTGTTGTCCAACTTGCGTCCAGTGTGTTTCACTGATCCCAAGTACCTCTAGGTTGTATCTTCTCATTTCTGCAGCAATTTGGAAGGCTCTCCCGGGTTCACACATTGTACGAACATTCCATGTACCTAAATAAATGGTCGCTCTGGTTGTCAGAAGGGGCATCGGCCTCGTAACTTCCGAAGGAATTCGGCTTTCACCATGGGGCGTCATAGTTCTTCTAAATGAAGACCTGACTCCCAGGGCAGAGTTTAAAAGGTTTGAATAATTTTTTCTGGTTAGCGTTTTTTTAGCGAGTTAGTTTTCTACGGGATGGGGACGCTAACCCCATGTCCAACCCTCCTCGTTTATCCGGGCTTGGGACCGGCAGTAGCCCCCGGAGGGACTCCAGGTGGAGTTGTATAATATGAAAACAATACCATAAATGTATCATTTGCACATCTTTCTTGAATTGTTTTTCACAAACTCCATCATTCTTCCATCACTGTTGTTACTCCGATTTTTCTATTTTACTCCCTTTTTTACCAGTGAGAGTTCTACCTCCAATCCGTTCTACATA